GGTGAAGAGCAAGAATTCAGGAGGAAAGAAGATAGTAGTTTGATCACCATCCTGTGTTCCAAGATGGTCCCCTAGCTTTGCTTAAAATGCAACAAAGAGAAAACAACTAAATGCCAGTGAATAATAAGCCAACATTACTAGGCAGCCATTAAAAAGGAGGAATGTGCTAGTATCAAAAGTATGATACAAAAAGCTCTGTCTAATAAACTGTAAAATAATTTTTAGAAAAATCTATAGCACAAGGCTCTGGTAGCATAGTGGCTAAGGCACTTGACTGCTAACCAGAAGGCTGGCGGTTCAAACCCACCAGCCACTCCTCGGAAGGAAGATGGGGCCAATCTACTTCCGTAGTGATACTGCCTCGGAAACCCAAGGAGGGGTCGCTATGAGTCGGGTCCAACTCGATGGCACATAACAACAACAACAACAACAACAACATTTCTCTTTTAAAAAGGATGTTGTATGAATGTTTGTGTCATAAATTGTAATGTGTTCCCCAAACTATATGTTGTAATTCTAACCTATAGAGGTGAAAAGGAGCTCTTGTGGCATAGTGCCTAAGGGATTTGACTGCTAACCAAAAGGCTGGCAGTTCAAACCCCCCAGCCACTCTGTAGAAGGAAGATGGGGCAATCTACTTCCATAAAAATTTACCGCCTCAGAAACCCAATGGGGGTCACTATGAGTCAGAATCCACTCAATAGCAGTAAATTTGTTTTTGGTTTTATATCTGTGGATGTAATCTAATCTAATCTAATCTAATGCAATCAATCATTTGAGGTAATGCCAGTGTAGGATGAGCCAGAAACCTAATGACCTCTGAGTTATATAAAAAGCAGCAAAGACACAGAGACTGGCCCACATAAACAGAGGGAAGGTAGATGGATGCCACATGAGGATTGCCAAGGAACTGAGGAGCTACAGAGGCAGAAAGAGACAAGAATCTTCCCTAGAGCCAATAGCAAGAAAGCCTTCCCTATAGCCAAAGCACCTCCTAGCCTCCTGAACTGAGAGAAAATAAATGTCTGTTCTTTAAAGCCACTCTGTTGAGGTATTTATGTTACAGCAGCACTAGGAACTAAGGCAGCGTGTGTGGGTGTGTGTGTATTTATTTCTGTGTGTCTATGTGTCAGGATCATATCTCAACATAATATCTATTGTTTGTTTCTGTGTCTTTACCTCCCTTCTTCTCTCTCACTGGTACCCCCAGGGGCTGGGTTGGGAAGGTTTTCCTTCTTCAGCCCACACCTAAGCAGAGACAAATATTCAAAAGCTCTCATTAGACAAAATTTCTTTTATTGTATTTGTAGAATCAGTTTTTCCACTCCTAGAGAAAAAATAATATTGTGCCTGTGGAAAGGAAGGGAGAAGGCAGAGGGGTGCCAGGAGAAGAAGGACAGAGAGGAAGGATGAGACATCAGTGAAATGTGAGGGAGGTGGAGAAACTTAGAGGAGACCAGGGAGAGGATGAATTCACATCAATCATGACTTCATCATGAACTCTTCAATTGAGAACTACCTGCTGTTCAATAGTTCTAGGTACTTGTAAGACTCCTGGACAGGAGAGATGATCAATTAGGATGGTCAAGACTATACTGCAGTAACAAATAACCCCCAATCTCTGCAGTTTAACACAAATGTTATTTTTGTTCACACTACATGCCCATATAGGATTGACTAGGGGCTGGCTTCCTCCTTGCCATTCTTATACCAAGACACAGGCTAACAGTGTAGCCACTGGAACATTGTCAGTTACCATAGCAGAGGGAAAGGGAGGGCAAAAGAAATTGTGCACTGGCTCTTGAAGCTTCAACCTAGATGTAACACAGATATTTTGACTCACATTTTATTGCACAAAATAAGTCATATGGCCACATTTAACGCAAAGGGGGCAGGAAAGTGCCATCATACCATGTGCTCATAACAAAAACTAGAAAAACAAGGTGAACAGCAAGCACTGAAGACCACCACAATAGAGGACTCAGACATCTGCTCTGGGGATGACAACATGAAGTAAGAACTTCCCTTCAAGAAGGTGAAAATGAAGGGATTGTCTATGAGCAGAGCCTCAGTAAATTGGTCATTATAGTTGGTTTGTGTTTACATGTAAACTTTCTAGAAAGAAGCAAGGAACTCAATTGCCTCTGATAACGGGGAGTATGGAATAAGAAATTTTAACTGTCACTCTATTCTCTTGTGTAATGTTTAGAGTTTTAACTATGACATTGATTTGTGTAGATTACTCTATAAAACCCAGGTCCCCTCTTAACTACTCAGAAGAAGACAGTGTAAATGGCTATAAAGAAGTCCAAAGAATTGAGTGTGTGTGACTCTGGGAGTAACCAGGCTTTGTCCCAAACACAAACATGGCTGGTGGACTTGACACAGGGTGAAAGAACTCCGTAGCAGCCCAGCCAACATCTGCCCCAGATACTTCTTAGTACTTATCACTTCTCTGAGGGGAACAGTGAGGACTGTTCTTATCTGTCCACATTCTTTTCAGAGCATTCTTTTCAGTCCAAAGGCCAGAGCCATGACACTTATTTCCTCTCTGATAATGAAAAAGAGAATTAACTATGGAGACCATCATCATGACTCAGAGTAAGAAAGTTGATGTAAAAAATCCCTAAAAAGTCTCAGATTCCCATCTGGGCTCACTCTCCCACTACTGTTCTGGGGTCAAGGCAGGGGCTTGGGGCAGGACAGGTGCTCACATGGTGCATAACTGTGTAACTAGCCTACCTGGAAACTCTTCTCCACCATCAAAACAGGACTGGGAGACTGTTTTGCAATTCAGTGGCAGTTGGTCCTGAGAAGGATGGGAACACTAAGTCACAAAGTAAGACAGAGCCTAACTGAGGTGCATCACTCATGGCAACACCACAGCTCGGTTCAGCCCCCTGCTCCTGCTTTCCACTTCCAGACATGCATCCATTGCCAGCAGGAGGGTGACTGCACAAGACTTAGAAGATGTCTCTCCTCCTAAAATTATCTCCTCAGGTCAAGACCTGAGAGCCCAGGACAATGCAGAGGCTATAGGGCAGATGGACATGGATACAAATCTTTAAAAATCTAAATGTGATTTACTTCCTCATCATTTAAAAACTATTTCATCATTTTAATTCATCAAACATTATTGATCAGCAAGGAATCTACTACAGCACCGTGATGAGAACTGACAGATGAAGAAACATGTCTAAGAACTAGCCCCCATCCTCACTAAACCCACAGCTCAGTAGGGGAGTAAGACACACAACCAAACACCAGGGTACAGGGCCCAGCAAGGCTCACAGGAGACACAGGCACAGTTTGGTAGGAGTCAAGAGGAGGAAAGGACAAATTCTTGCCAGAGAGATCTAGAAGACTTTGCTGGTGGACTTTCAGCCTGATGCATGGCCTCCTTTGACAAGGAGCTGGATGGAACTAGCTTCTCTTGTATATTTCTTATCTCCAATGCAGGCTGTATGGTTTGGAGTAAAAGGCATGTGAGGTTTTTCCTAAATGTCGCTGGCAGGCCTCAGAACAGACTCATAAAAGTTTCATAGTTCAGAAGCAAGTTCATGGGGAGTAAACTGTATCTGTGACAGCCTTTTCCATACTGTATGTACACTGATAGAAACACCTACATGTGTGGGCTGTCATGTCTGGAGCAGAAATGATGAATAGCATTCTCTGTCCCTTCCCTTTTCTAATAGGACCTCCAGTGGCATAGTACCTAAGACATTGGACTGCTAACCAGAAGGCTGGCAGTTCAAACCCAGCCACTCCTTGGAAGGAAGGTTGGGCAATCTACCCCCATAGTGATACTGCCTCAGAAACCCAAGGAGGGGTTGCCATGTGTCGGGTCTGACTTGACAGCAGTGAGTTTTCTTTCCTTTCCCTTTTCTAATCACCATCCTGCTGCACTCAGGGGTCAGGTTGCTAATCTGTCTTCTACAAGGCACTGTGGTTATTTGTTCCTATCCCACATTCTCACCTGGGCAGCCACATATCTCTGCTTCCTAGTTTCTATCTAGCCCTGTAACCACATTAATGTATCTGGGATCTGTTCTAATTTTTCATCCTTTCTTCTGGAAATTTCACTGTCATCCTTTTATCCCAAATCCAATACACTTTTCTTCCCAGGGACATATCTCTTTACTTATTCAAGCCATTTGGCAGTTTTAAACAATAACTGAAGTATCATGTCTTTATGAAAAGGAAGGCTTGTCAGACTCAAATCTTTCCTTGTTGTTGTTGTTGTTATGTGTTGTCGAGTTGGACCCGACTCATAGCGACCCCTCCTTGGGTTTCTGAGGCAGTATCACTATGGAAGTAGATTGCCCAACCTTCCTTCTGAAGAGTGGCTGGTGGGTTTGAACCGCCAGCCTTCTGGTAAGCAGTCAAGTGCCTTATGCTCTATGCTACCAGAGCTCCCCAAATCTTTTCTAGTGACATGAAATAAAAAGTCACTCAATATCACTTGAGCCAAAATGGGAAATTTATTTTAGGTATCCAGGTCCTAGACAATCAAAAAGCAGGAAGCATGGTCAGATGGCAGTTTGACCACAGAAGGACTGGAAAACAACCAGGGATCAACACTGCTACTCTCTCAGATTCTCCCCCATAGTGCTTTGGTGCCATGTAAATTTTCAACACAATCTCATTGTGTACCTTCTTTCATTCTTCTCTACTCGTGGCTTTCTCTACTTTTCAAACCACTTGGTTACCATTGCCCAATTGTAATCTCCCAAGATGTATAATTCCTCAAGTCAAGCAACCATCAGAGACTGAATAGGGCCACAGAATTCTAATACCAAGATCCCAAAAGAAGGGATAGTGACCACCTGGGTTACAAATAGTTGTGTCCCAGAGAGGTAGTCAGGTCCCACCAGCAGGGCTGTGGATCCACTGTCATTGAAGGGTTCTTCGCAGTTCTTAGATAAAGGTGTGCTGCCTTGGAATGGATAAGCCAAAATCCAATTTCAGCAGCATTACCGCACCTAAGAAGCTTATTAGAATTATGCATAATGAACCAAGGAAGAACCAAGGTTCTGGCATTTGCAGAACCTGTCCAGTCTTTCAGTCAACATTTTTAGTGGTTGGACAACTTCCATGATCAGCTGAAGATGCAGGGTAGCCATCTTTAAACACTTGGGCTGGTACTGGAAATAGATAAATAGGAAATACACCAGGAAGCCACTGAGCAGAAACAGGAAGATATAAAGGAACTCCATCTGAGGATGGTTGATGATGGGTGCCAGCACCAGATAGACAGAAGCCAGGAGCATGATAACAGAGATGAAGGTGGGAACCTGCATTGAGCACAGAGTAGGTATTTGACCCTGGGATCTGCATGATGAAGGGGAACATGAGAAGTGGTATATGGGCCTGCCTTCCTGTTGCTTCCACTTGAAGCAGCTCCTCTCTTCCAATCCCAGCCCTGAAACCCTGCCTAGGCCAAGGGGTGCCACCTGCTGAGCTTCAGGAGGCACTCCTGGGAGCAGAGGCTTGGGACCCAGTTCTTCCTCAGGGTCTTCCAGAGGAGAAATGAACCCCAGCAAGCAGAGTTGGTGCCTGGTGATTCCTCACTCCCAAGGACCAATTCTTAGAGAAGGGGGTGCAATCCTGAAATTAATGCCTTGTCGCAGAAAATATGGAAATTCCATGCCAAATGTAATGAGAGTGGCAACTCCTTATATACTTATTTAGGGCCCTGAATAAGGCTGTGACCCAAAGACCTGCCTTGTGCAGTAGCCTAGGATTGAAGAAGCCCAATGTCCATCCCAAAGTCTACCTTGTAAGGTCTGGGAAGATTCTTCTCTTTCATTCTCAAGTATAGGAGGCAACTAATGGTGGTTCCATAGGTGAGCCAGGCTATGAGGCTGAAAGGAAAACATGGGCTGCTCATTACTAGGCTCTGCCACCGGTAAGCCTACAAGAAGGGCTGACCAAGAGCAAAGGTGCAAGCCTTTTATCCATGCAAACTAATCAGTGAAAGAGGCAAGCCTGGGGCACTGAAGAAAAGGAAGCACTGCAGGGTATGGAGGGTCAATATTAATCCATTCCTCCCACCTTTGTCTGAAAAGCCACTAAGTGGCACACTCACAAACTCAGTCATTGAGAGCCTCTCTATATCAGGCCTTTTCTGACTGCCCCTGAATGGATGATATTCAAGGGGAGGCAGGAGTAGTTTGTGTTTCTCACAAAGAAGAGTGTATTTGATTGTCTGATGAGAACTCAAGGAAGTTCCCACCTCAGGGACCAGCACACTCATAGCAGATCTTCCCCTTCCCACACCAATAGTTTCCCTTAGGGTTGGTGACTGGCAGTGGTGAGCACCCAGACAAATCTCTTGCCTCTGCCTCCCCAGTGTTTATATTTCTGTGACTGACATAGGTCTAATGAAAACTCCATATACCCTTGGAGACAGAGTTCAGAACCAGGTCATCTTTTGAGGCAGTCAAGACTGAGAGATGCTAAGTCCTAGTTGGGGTAGAGCATTCTAGAGTTCTCACTCTGCTCTTGGAGACTCAGTCACATATCCAGTTTCAGCCTTCATGAAGACTCCCTACATTCACCATGTATTTGATTTGATTCTTGGTATAAATGACTCACCATAATGATTTTATTCTTTCTCATGGGAAAGATATAAAAAGAACAAACCAGGTCTCTTACCTATTGTTCTTAAGAAAGTCACATTGAGCACAGTATGCCCAGTTCTAGAAGATTAATTATACTTATTGCAACAAAGGAAGAGAACATACTTGACAAATTATTCTGAGGACTCCCTCTGTGACATTATGCTTGCTACTGTTTTAAGGCTCTGCCCATTGAACCTGCTCCAACTGAGGTATAAAATGATAATTTGGTATCACAACAGCCCATCATCATTCTGCCCCAGGGAAGGTAATAAAGGGGGTCAGAACATCTCTCCACTTTGATATAGTAACTGGTTGTGCCTAAACAGCTTGCTTGTGGGTCTGTCCCTGAGTTAAAGAGAGACATGGTGGGTCAAAGTCCAGAACTCAGGCTCAGACCACAATGAAAAAATTGTACCTTAGCCAAGGGCTACAAGTTGTGTGGATAATCCTTGAATATTCCTTAACATTATCTTGGAGGCAAAATAAAGGAACAATGGGGGGGGGGGGAGAAAGAAAGAAAAAAAGCCTTGCCCCTCCTTCCCCCCAAAAAAGTGACAAAGACAATGCAAGCTTTTAACTTATCTGTCTCTTGGTGTCCTTTTGAAACAGCTGTCTCATTGAATTTTTTTTAAATGGTAATAGAGGAGGAAGCCACATTTAAATTTGGAAACATGGCTTGGGGAGGAAAGCTGAAAAGTGTGTGCATATATGAGGGTGATGAGCCAGGGCTTCCAGAAGTGTACATGAACATGTTTGTGTATACATCCACATAGGGGGCCTAGAAGAATAATCTCACTTGCCTCAAGAAGTTCATAATGGTGCTGAAATTTCCTGGGACGATCAGGACCAAAGTCACTGCAGCAATGAATATCAGCGCTGGGGCTGGTGTGAGGAGATGCACATGAACCATGGACAGAAGTCAGGGCTGGGAGGCAGAATTGCCCATGAGGCAAGCCCCAAGGAGAGAGGCACTGAGTACCTGCCCAGGGTAGCTCCCAGCCCTCTTCCCCTGCCTCATGCATTCTGGACACCAGTGTGCTCAACCTTATACACAGCAGTCACCACAGCACCCAGAAGTAGGTCTCTGTAGTTCACCTGGGATGACCTGGCCCAGGATTGGGGAAGGGGGGACAAAAGGCTGTGCCTCCAGGTCAGCCAAAACCCAAATACCTTAGGATGTGGGACTGGAATATAGAGAGCTGTAGCAGATACCTGGCCTGGCCATTTGCCTGTCTATTCCTCATCCTCAAGACAAAAAGAGGGACAATGAGGGAGAAAGAAGAGAAGGGAGAAGAGGATGGGGCAGGTATGGGTGGCCCATGGGATGGGATATTGGGTGATTGTGTCACACCATATTATTGTTCAGCAAATATTTAGTCTTCCTCTCCCCAGCTCCATGGAATGACTATGCCTTGCTATCCATTGATGTTGGTCTTGGCCATGTCACTTAGTTTGGCCAACGGTATATGACGTAAGAAGAGGCTCTAAATACTTGGTCCCCTATATTTCTGCCACTTGCTATAGGCTAAAATGCCCCAATTAGTCTTCACTGCTTTGACCTTAGTCCCTGAGATAAAAACAAACTCAGTTTGGAATAAGAAAACACAACACACAGTCTGAAATTGAGCCACAGCTGACATTCGACTCACGAACAAAAATTAAATGTTTAGTGTAAGCTACTGAGAATTTGGGATTGGCCATTATTCTGCATCATTGTAGCAAAAGTAGCACAATGACAGAGACTCCCCTGGGAGATGCATCTATTCCCATCTCTCCTCCCCACTTTCCTGCACTGGTATTGAGCACAAATGTTCTTATCACCAAGAACCCCTACACAGGGTGACTCAGAACTGTGCTCTTCTGAAAACCTAGAAGTAAAATGGAGTATGAAGATGAGATGTATGAAATATTTGAGTCCTGTTCCCTGAAGAAAAGATGGGCATATCTGGTTTGGGAAGTTCTAATTTGGGCTAACTCTTAAGCTTTAGATAGGAGAAGGCTTGGTTTGTTGGTCCTTCCATCACCTCTCTTACCAGCCCCACCATCTAGCCCCACCCAAGAGTCTATCTCTCACCATATGGTCCTCTCTTCGAGCCACATACCACACAGGCTTCCACTGAAAAACGTCCCATTTGCAGAACCAAATGTCAACAGCATGACAGCCATAGGCACAAGCCAGGCCCAGGCCCCCAGAACATGGTTCCTAGGAAAAAAAGGGAATCAAGGGGTGGAAATCTGACATAGCCTGGAAAACTGCAAGATTACACTGAGAAATGGAGCAAGCAATTTGTCCTAAGGCAAGTTCAGATAACCATGCAACACCATCAAAGATCTCCCCTCCTTAGAATTTCTGTTCAGTGTCCATGCAACAGTTCATCTGGCAGTGATCAGACAACCTCACTGCTCAGAGCCTTTTCTCCAAGAAGTCTTCTTCAAGAGTACAACCTCCTATGCCACACAGCCAGGCCTTCTGTTGGTTGTCCAGTCTGGCTTTTGGCTGTGGCACTTGGCCAAGACCTTCCCAGAACAATTCTGATTTGGGTTGTATTTGCCCAATGCTCTATGTATTGTGTTCCAGCACTACTTCTAATTGTCACCCCTCCCCTTGCCCTGGCAATGCCAGGAGTACCTAAAGTGCAGAAGGACCTTGCTTTTTCATCTTCTCCTTTCTTAGACTCTGTCAGAAGCCCTTCCATGACCTATCACCTGCCATATTTGACCCATACAAGTGCCACTGCATAGTCAGCTCCCTTATCCTCATTCTATCCCTCCCATCTCTTCTCCCTATCCCATTATTGGCCTTCTCTGTCTTGGCCTACATCATAGACCTCCACCTCTCAACATCCCTTTCCCTTCCTGGGCCTCTCTACTCAAGGCTGACTCCATGCAGGGTGATGCTTTGATCCTGTTGTCACCAATTGCTTCCTCCTCAACTGCAGACTCAATCCCAACTCTGGCTCCCATTTCCTTCCACAGTAGCTGACTTCCTCTTCTTGGTACCTAAGATCCTTCAGAGTAATCTTTGGGCTCTTCTCCCTAATCCCCATATGCACTTCTTTTTCCAGACAAGCCACTGGCTTTATCAACTACTCATACCCAAGCTAGTTCCACCATTGTGGTCTTCTAGCCTAGGAATATTCTACTATCTCTCAGCCAGCCCTAATCCTATTGATTTGTATAAACATGGCTCCATGTTTTCTAAGAAGTCTACTCTGTATGGTTTAGCCTTCATATCTCTGAACCCCCCAAGGCATTTAAGCTTAAACCACATAATTTAACCTGGGACCATGGTCTACATGGTTCTCCTCTCAGATAACCTATGAGTACTCTAAGAATAGATACCTAAGATCAGGCTGGGCCAACCAGAATAAATCTGGAGGTCAGCACCAAAATACAGAAAGTGACAATTACAAAGCTGGCCACACAGTAGTCCTAAACACAAGCCAATACACAGTAGATGTTTGGGAAGGATTTCAAAGTTGTATTCAAGAATAGCTCAAGTGAACAGTAGTCAAAATTGCCTGGTATTTGTATAATGACAGACACATAAACCAATGGAATAGAATTAAGAACCCAGAAATAGATCTATCGACCTATGGTCAGCTGATCTTTGACGAAAGCCTAAATCCATTAAATGGGGAAGAGAATGTTTGTTTAATAAATGGTGCTGGCAAAACTGGAGATCCATTTGCAGAAAAATGAGAAACATCATATACAAAAACTAACTCCAGATGGATCAAAGACTTAAATGTGAAACCTAAAACTATACAGTTCCTCAAGGAAAAACTAGGGGCAAATTTAGGGGCCCTAATATATGGAAGCATGGAAGCTCTGGTAGCATAGTGGCTAAGCACTTGACTGCTAACCAGAAGGCTGGCGGTTCAAACCCACCAGCCACTTCTCGGAAGGAAGGTTGGGCAATCCTACTTCTGTAGTGATACTGCCTCGGAAACCCAAGGAGGGGTCGCTATGAGTCAGGGCTGACTCGATGGCACATAACAACAACAACAAACAACAATATATGGCATAAATAGACTATCAAGCATAACCTAAAATACACAAACAGCAGAAGAGAAACTAGATAAATGGGACCTTCTCAAAATTAAATTTTTATGTGCTTCCAAGAACTTCTCCAAAAGAGTCAAAAGAGAACCTACAAATTGTGAAAGAATATTTGGCAATGACATATCTGACAAGGGACTTATCTCTAAAAGCTACAGAAAACTCCAACACCTCAATAATAAAAAGACAAATATAATCCAATTAAAAAATGGGCAAAAGACATTAATAGACACTTCGCAAGGAGGATATTCAGGCAGCCAACAAACATATGAAGAAATGCTCACAATCATTATCCATTAGAGAGATGCAAATCAAAACAACAGTGAGATACCATCTTGCTCTAGCACTAGCAGCAAAGTTCAACAAGGCAGAAAATAACAAATGCTGGCAAGGATGAGGAGAGATTGGAACTCTCATACACTGCTGGTGGGACTGTAAAAGGGTACAACCACTGTGGAAAGCAGTATGGCGATTCCTTCAAAAGTTGGAATTAGAAATACTATTTGACCCAGCCATTCCATTAGTAGATATATATCCTAAAGAAGTGAGAGCCATGACAAGAACAGACATATGCACACCCATGTTCATCGCAGCACTATTTACAATAGCCAAAAGATGGAAA